CTTGTGGTCCAGGGTGGCTATGCCTAGGAATCTCAGTGGTGTAGTGTGCAAATTACACATACCACAACTGAGAGTCAAATTATGGACACTGGAGCAGAAAAAGAAGCAAGTAGCAAGTTTCCTCAGTGGAACAGACTAAGTCTGTGGGCCTGAACAAACTGGACCTAACTAGGAGTTGGCCCACAGGACTCAGGCGTAGAAAGTGACAGATACCTTGCAACATCTCAGGCACAAAGAAGAAAGGTCAGGGTGGACCTGAACACCTTCAGGGTAGGTTCCTGCCAGGTGATGGTGAAGGCAACTGGGCAAATACTGTTGGAGGCAATGGTGGTAGGTTGTTATTTCATGTGTAAAGAGCAGTAGTGTAAAGCTGAAACCTTAAATTCTTTTTGCATCTGGAGTCTTCCAAGCTTTGGAGCATTGGCTTCTAAAAGCTTTCCCTAATAAACATTCTTTTTCTTTTGTCAGTCATGGGGCTTGAACTCTGGGCCTGGGCGCTGTCCCTCAGCTCTTCAGCTTAAGGTGAGCGCTCTACCACTTGAGCTACAGCACCACTTCCGGTTTCTGGTGGTTTATTGGAGATAAGAGTTTCATGGTCTTTCCTGCCTGGGCTGCCTTTGAACCTCGATCCTCAGATCTCAGCCTCCTGAGTAGCTAGGATTACAGGTGTGAGCCACCAGCACCCAGCCCTAATGACCATTCTTTACCCATTGTGTTTCCCACCCATACAGGAAGAAGGGCCTCCTTGAGTGTCACCTGTTTGCGTGCTACCTCCGCCTCCACTCAGGGCAAAGAAGCAATGATGGGCTTATCCCTACCAGCATGGGCTTAAGCTTCCAATTGCTAGGGCATAAATAGAGGCTCTAGAAAAATTAAAATGGCCCTTTTGACTTTCAAAATCAATGGTTTATGCTAGGTAAGATGGTATCTAACTGTAATCCTAGCACTTGGGAGGGTGAGGTAAGATGATCTGAAGTTTGAGACTAGCATGAGATTCATAAAAAAGCATTATCTCTACAAACAAACCAACCAAACAACCCAATGACTTATGCTTCCACAGAAGGCACTGTTTGATGAACTGAAGACCAAAGGATGAAGTTATAGCAACAGAATTTTAATTAAAATTTCTGTGCATATATAGGTCTCTCCCCACTCCCTCCCCCTCCCCCTTACACACACACACACACACACACACACACACACACAGCGTTTCTGGAGTACAGGCTTTCCAGTCATCTATCTTTGGGCCCTTCTTTTCTAGAAGAGGGCTGGAGAGTGGTGCCAGTTTCCTGCTGCTGCCCCCTTGAGGTTGAGCTGTAGATACACAGCCAGACCTGCTCCCCGGCCTCTGCTTCCCCACCCCTTCCATCTCATCCTGCTGGGGATTGTGTAATAGATTTCTCAACTGCACTGCCTGGGCAAAGAGGCCCAGGAGGGAAGAACAATCCACAGATACAGAGCACACAAGGTCATAACCTCTTCCTCTTCTCTAGACTGAGAGCTCCCAATAACAAGGCCCCCACCATCTTTTCCATGATCTCAAAGCTTGGCACCTATGGTCAAATATATCCCTTCTCCTCAAGATCATTGAACGCGAAAAAGTTAATGATTAGCCTTAGGATTAAAAAGGCAGGTTGTTCTTTGGAAGCTGGGGTGTGTACTGGACAGGGCCAGGGACTCCACAGAAATTCACTGAGCCAAACAATGGCAGGAAAGAAAACCACCCAATTACCATTCCTTTTTTTTTTTTTTCTTCAAGGCTAATTCTGAGCACACCACTTTTGGCAGGGATGGTTGTACCAGAACAGAGGGCAGTGTTTCTTCCCATGCTTTTCAAAACATGCTTCTGTGTATTTGTGTGCATGAAACAAAGACAGAGATATTAGAAAGATCAGATCTTAGAAGCCTTGAACACAAGAGAGTGGATTCTCCACCCTCCCCGCCCCCCCCAAGGGACATGATTGAATTTCAGAAAGATTTCCTTGGCTGCCGTGTCGATTAGATTAAAGGGTACAGACTGGAAAGGGGTCACTGAAGTAGTTCAGGGTAGACTTGATAAGATCTGATGTTGGGTAGTATTGCCAGAGGCCTAACTCTGGAGGCTCCCAACTAATCAAATCTAGCCACTTGCTCCAAAACACAAACAGAAAAATGCTGGAAAACAAGAAAGGAACTTTCATCTGTATGACTACATCAGGATGACGAGACAACCAGCATCCCCAGCCCTTTTTCAGAGATATTAAAATGAGTTCCCAGATTACATAAGCAAGGGGCAGCACTGAAGGACGGGTTCATCAGTCTTGGGCAAACTGTGGTCTGGTATGTGGTCAGGCAGGGCCTTGTCCACCACAAGAAGATTGCTCTTGCCTTTTTCCAGGGAGGCAGTTTCCACTCTTATTACAAGATGTTTATCCAGTGGCCCTGTTGTTCTTGGAGTTCAAAGTGAACACAGGAGACAGATGCAAAATGGAGGCCGACACGCTAAGTTTTTAGTTATTTTAGTTATTCATTGGGCATGTGCCGGCCCAAGTGAAGAATCAGTGCTTTTTAGTAGAATCAGCCTCTAAGTCCTTGTTGTGGTAGTGGCCAGAGGATGGAAAGGCCAACACTGGCTTTGGATTCAGGGAGCTAAGAAGAACCCAGAGCTCATGGTGAGAACTAGCAGAAAGAGGCTTGGTCTGGAGCATGAGCAAGACATCTCTGCTCAGCACAGGAACTAGGATACAAAGATACATGTACCTCCATGTTCATTGCAGCACTGCTCACAATCGCCAAGGTGTGGAAACAACCCAGATGCCCCACTACAGATGAGTGGATCCAAAAATAGTAGGACCTATATACAATGGAATATTATGCAGCCATTACAAAGGACAAAATAATGGCATTCTCAGGGAAATAGATGGAACTAGAGCAAATCATTTTGAGCGAGGTAAGCCAAGAGCAAATGGCACATGTGGATGTTAAATCCAAAATGCAAGAAGATATAACAAAATAAACTGGACTGAAGAAACAAAGGACCTCCACTCATTTTGTCACATCATTACTAAATGACCCCATGTTCTCGACCACATATATGGTATATATGTACACATCTGTGGGAAGCTAGGAGGAGGACACAGAATCAGAGGGAAATGGGAAAACATACAGCAGAGGGTCCCATCAGCTGCACTGGACATTGATGAAAATGAACTAAGCAACTCAAAGGCAGTGATGGGAGGGAGGGAGTGAGAGGCAAAGAGGGACCAGCTAACACTAAGCAAAAGGTGTTGGGTCTTCTTAGTCAGTCCCAGGAAAGGTAAGTGCGGCTGCTCACCCGCCGTTCCCCAGCATCCCTCAGCCCGGGAGACAATCAGACACAGCGGGGAGCCAAATCCAGCAGGAAGAAAACTCGTTTATTACCACAGAGCAGCCCTTTTTAAAGCCAAAAAGGGCTGGTGGCATGGCAGGGGGGGAAGAGGAACCAATCACTGTCAAGGTCACACCCTATCGTGCACCTAAGCTTTCACGTGCTGGTTACGCACTGAAGGTAAGGTGAATTGGGCTCTGCCCACGCTACTCTCTCTCAGTGCCATCTTTGCTGCCCATGTGCCCTGCAGATTCCTCCTCTTCTTTTTGTTTTAACAGGATTACATTGGTAAGAATAGCATTGGCCACGCAGGGGGTTCTTGGCAAGTATGAGGGTCGAGATTTGCCAGACAAGGATAGGGAGGGCCCTTGTACAGGATCCAAGAGCCCGTCCCAGTTACCTCACATCCCCACCTAGCACAGAAATAAACATCAGTCCCACCACAGTTAGAAATGTCCAAAGCAGTTCAATTAATTCCTGGGTACCTGGTGTCTTTTAAGTAAGCCAGTTCCTTGTACTGCCTTTTAGCACAGGGGTCAAGATGACCTTTGAGCTTTACTGTCAGCTCCCAATGGCTCCCAACAAAAAGGAAGAAATGTACATATCACCTGATGTGGAAGAAATAGTTGTATTATCAAGACTCATAGAATTCACAAACTTTATAGACCATGATAATGACAATTTGCCTTGTGAAGGTTAAAATGTGTTTGTGATTAATTATCACTATTCCACAATACTGTGAAATTTGTGAAATGTATGTAATTGCTTAATCTCAATAAATTATTTTTAAAAGAATCAATTTTTAAAAAAAGAAAAAAGAAATATCTGCTTTGGTCTAGGGGAAACTAAGGTAAAAACTCACCTGGAGTTCAGAGAGAAGGCTTAGCTGCTGCTGCTGCTGCTGCTTCCCATTCCTATGCAGTTGGAAAGGAAATTGAGGCAGACTTTCTGAAATAGAGTGACAGAGCCAGACACTTGTGGGTCATATGTGCATTCCTAGCTACTCATGCTGAAATAGGAGGATTGCAGTTCAAAGCCAGCCCTGGCAGAAAAGTCTGTGAGATTCTATCTCCAATTCACCACCAACAACAACAAGGCTAGAGACATGGCTCAAGTAATAGCATTCCAGCTGTGAGTGAGAAAGTTGATGGAGGCCCTGAGTTCGAGCCCTAATACCAATACAAAAAGGAGAGAGAGACAGAGAGAGGGGGCGTGGGAGAGAGAGAATTTCAGACTAAGAGCCTGGTCCCAGGTTTACTACAGTGGCCACTCAGTCTCTCCCTGTTATCTCTACAGAATAGAGTTCCCACTGCTATATATTACCTTCCCACCAACAGCTCATGTGCAGGAGAAGCCAATGAGGAATTATGGCTATGACGAGGCAACTGGAAACTCCTTGGAAGAGGGTCAGGCTCCTCAGACGCAGATGTTCATGGAGAGACAAACTTTGAATGCATAAGATGTGCTGGCAAGAAACAAGGCAGAGCTAGAAAGGGCTAGCAGAATCCTTATTTTAAAGCAAGAAAACAAGAAATAAGCTTGGGCATAGGTCAAATGGTAGTATTTGCCTAGCAAGGCCCACAATTCAATCCCAGTACTGCCCTACCAAAAACCAAAACAAAAAACCCCACAAAAAACCAAAACAAACAAGAAATAGTATTGTAATAGCTACCTTTTATTGAGCACCTACTTTGTGCCAGGCACTTTGCATACATGTGTGCTTAGAATTCTCACAATGACCTTGGAGGTAGGCATAATGATCATTTTCACTTATGAAGAAACAGGCTCATTGAGATTAAGCAGCTTATTCAAGGTCACACAGCTGGTTGAATAATGATAGAATTGCCAATAGAGGGCTGGGGATGTAATTCAGTGGCAGAGTATGCTTATAGCTCTTATTGAAGCAGCTTATTCAAAGTCACACAGCTGGATGAACAACAACAGAATTGCCAATAGAGGGCCAGGGATATAGTTCAGTGGCAGAGTGGTTGCCTAGTATGCTTGTAGCTCTGGGTTCAATTCCTAATGCTGGGGAGAGAAAAGAATTGGCAGTGGAGATGTGAATCTGAGCCCCCCTCCCTCCGCCAGTGCTTCCATCAGGAATTTTCCACATTGAAAAATAAAGAGGATAGAGAAATGAACAAAGACTCCCTCGCTCTGAGAGCGAGGAAAGGAAAGGAAAATGGCTGAGATGAAAGATTGGCCATTGTATGTATTGGCAGGTGTTTCTGTATACCTGCAGCTCATTTGCCAAAGCACACATCCCACTGGCAGAATAAGAACACTGCTCACTTTTAGGCCACACTCAGACTATGCGCCAAGTGAAGCAGATAAGAAACCTTGAAAGAGCTGTTTATTTCCTACCAGAGTCCCAGGGAAATCACCTGGGAAGGGGCCAGCTCAACCAAGCCCCTTGCCCCATGCCCCCTGGCTCCAGGTTTACCTAGCCTCAAGGATGTTGTGTTCAGTCCACAGACTCAGGGGCCTATGCGCTCCCCCCACCCACCCAAGGAGACAAGTTCTTGAGTTAAGGCACTAAGTCTGGCTTGCATGGCCCTACAAAGCTGCCTTACAGGCACATCTGGCCCAGGGCTGGGCCCAGGTGCAACCCCCCATAGGTTAATGCAGTGTTAGGAGTTACTTCCCAAACAGAGGGCAACCGTGATCACTGCGCACAGAGCCTCGTCCAGTTCTCTGGGAAAGGAGCTCCTGCCTCCTTGCAACCTTTACCCCTTCTCCCTAGCTTGTGTGCACCAGGTCAACCACAGTTCAGGCCTGTGCTGAGAACTCGGCCTGGCTTCTAACACCAAGATGCATACTTTCCAAATGTGGCAGGGACTATTTTAATCCTTTTTGAAAGGATCATATTCCCACCTCAGAAGGGAAGACATGGCCACAAAGACCAGGGGAGGTGGGGAGGGGAGTTTCTCTATGTGCTTTTAAAAACCAGATTGTGTGTTACAGAATTCAACCAACCAACCAACCAGACTGGTCTCCTCTGAGAAAGGCTGTCTGGCTTCCATCCATCCCAGACCGGATAGAGAGTGGAGGGAAAGGGCCCAGGATCGTGCATTGAAGCAGGAGGTCGCTTCCGAGTCCCCTCTCAAGCCCACCTATAGCTGTTGGCTACATACTATGTACCACTTAGTGGGTCACAGAGGTGGGACTTCCTGGTTCAGGCGTGATGGAGGGTTTAAAACAAAAATAAAAAGTGTGCATGAAGGATATGGCTAGGGCTGTGGGGTTCCTACAGGGTCAGGAGGCCCACGTGAAATAGGCGACTTCGTCCAGGTCTACCGGGTAATCGGTGAGCAGCACCGGCGTCTTGTCGAAGAGTTCCCCCTTGTAGCTGCGCCACTTGCCGGCGGGCAGGTAGACGTCGCGCTCCTGCTTGCCCGGCTCCAGCACGGGCGCCACCAGCAGCGTGTCCCCGATCAGGAACTGCGAGTCGATGCGGTGAGCCGTCTCGTCGCCCGGCGCGATCCACCAAAGGGGGCGCACGATGGGGTCGCCGGTATCGGTGACCTCACCGGCCAGCTCGAGCAAGAGCGGGGCCACCAGCGAGGCCCGCAGGGCGGCGAACTTGTGGGCGATGGCCACGACCTCAGCGTCGTACTGCCAGGGCGGGATGGAGAACTGCATGGCCGGCATGAAGGCGGCCACCTCCAACCAGCGCACGTAGAGCTCCCGATCCGGCCCCTCGCGGTTGCCCACGGTGCGGTCGGGCACCGCGTTGCCACCCACCATATCGGGCAGGATGAACGGGTAGCCCAGCATGCTGACGGTGAGCACGGCGGGGATGAGCGAGCGCAGCCCCAGGTCGTAGCCCCACAGGGAATCGCGGTCCACCAGGCGGAAGAAGCAGGAGATGTTCTGCGACTGGTAACCCACGCGCACCTCGGCCAGCGAGAAGAAGGGCAGCGCCATCTCCGTGTATCGCCGGCTCCACACGCTGGGATCCGACAGCGGCTTGTAGGTGCTAAAATCCCGGGGCAGGTAGCTGACCTCACCGGCGTCGAACTTAAAGGACGCCACGGTGTAGCGGGAGCGCAGCCTCCGCAGGTGGCCCTGGAACCAATCTCGGGCTTCCGGGCGCGTGAAATCGAGCACGGCGCCGATGCCGTTCCACCAGCGCACGAGCGCGGGCAGCCGGCCCGTGGGCTCGCGCACGAACAGCTCGCGCTCCACGCCCTCGCCGAAGCGCGACGAGTTGTAGTTGACAAAGGGGTGCACCCAGAGCGTGACGCGGAAGCCGGCGTCGCGCAGGCGGCCGAACATGTCACTGGCGTTGGGGAACTTGGCCTGGTCGAAGTCGAAGTCGCCGTAGGCGGGCGTGTACATGTCGTCGATCTCCAGGTGGCTGCTGTTGAAGCGGTGCTGGCGGATCTGCTGGGCGAAGCTCAGCACCTTGTCCTGATCCACGTCGCGCCCGTACAGCGCCCACGTGGACCAGATTGGATCGCGGAAGGCCTCGGGCGCGGGCACCCTGGACGGCTTGTTAAAATAACGTCGCACCATGTACTTGTGGATGGAGGTGACATCGGAGCCCACGCACACGCGGTAGCTGAGCTCGGCGGCTGCGGGGCGGCCGGCCGCCGGCTTGTAGGGCGTGTCGTGGTATCTGGCCTGCAGCCGCAAGGATCGCTCTGTGTCGTTCCAGCCCAAGTGGAAGGGCACGGAGTCGTTGACTTTGATGGCCGCCGCGCGCGACGATAGCCAGTAGCGCTCCAGGATGCCCCCGAAAGCGGCATCCGAAGAATAGACGTCGCTCGTGACGAATGGCTGAGGCTCCTGCTGACCCTCCAGGCGGATGGGCCAGTACTGGGTCCTCATCTCCGCGCCGCCGTACCAGTGGGCCGTCGTGTCGCCAAGAAACATGGCGTGCTCCACGGCACGTCCCGGAGCCGCTTCTTCCCAGCGCACGCGGTAGCACATGACCGTGTCCTTAGGCCGCACCGTCTGGATGAAAAAGTGCAGTGGGCGACCATCGGCCGTGTGGGTGCACCCGAGGACGGCGCCATCGCGGCTGCAGGAGTCGAGGTCCAGAGCCCCCGATCGGAAGGCCAGCCGGAAGACCTGCTCGCCCTTCTGGTTGCGGATGGAGAAGCCGCCACGGTTGAGGTCCAGCAGCTCGGCCCGCAGCCGTTCCGCTTTGCGTAAGGAGGCACTGTAGTAGCACCAGGCCACCACCGCAGCCAGCACCAGCAGCAGCCCCAGGACCGCAGAGCCCAGCATAGGCCTCAGCTCTTTGGTTGGCTTCGGTTTGGCAGGGGAGAAGTTGTCAGGCAGGAAGGTGTACATGGCTGCTGCAGTGGCTTTGGGACTCTTAGGGCCTCCGTGGCCACCAGAGCGGTGGCGGGGGAAGGCGTGGTTGTTCTCTGGAAGGTTCTGGGGCATCCGTCCCCAGCTAAAGAAGGCACAGGCAGTGGTACCACTGGACCAAGCCCATTTGATCTGCTGGAATCTAAAAAGGGAGGAGAGAGAAAAACTCTGAGCTTCCTGGTTCCATAATATTTCCATTTCTGCAGATGTATACTGGAGGCTAAGGGCTTACAAGCAGCGAAGGTGTGGCTCTTACAAGGACAATTTTGGTCATGCCAGCCAGAGTTTTCATGGGCCTTAATACTTGCCCAAATTAGTCAGGACTCAATGAGGAGAATTATCATCCAGACATGATTTATTTCCCCCTTTCCCTGGTGGCAAAGGTCAAGAAGCCATCAAGGATCATAGGATAACTCAGGCCTTCTTGGAGCAGGGGAGGGGCTGGCCTACAGGAACAGCTGGGCTGAAGAAGGAGGGAACTTACTGCAAGGGTTGCTGAAAGGAGACTGACACATGGTTCAGGGGCAAACCAAACCGCCAGTCTGTACCAGATGTAGGTGTGCAGAGAACTTCTTGTAGAGAAAGATTATATAAGGGAGGGGGAGAAAGAGGCATGACCTCAGCATATGAGGAAGTGACCTCAGAGCTTGGGGACCCCTCACTGCCCTTAGATATGCTAGTTACCTGGGTTACAGGTGCTGAATTTCTAGGGAGGGCCAGGTGCAGTTGTGCATGGAGAGAGAACAAAGGGGAAGTGGGGGTTTTTTTTTTAGTTTTTTGTTTCTGTTTTTGGTCAGCCATAGGGCCTGAACCCTGGGCCTGGGCGCTGTCCCTCAGCTCTTCAGCTCAAGGCTAGTGCTCTACCATTTGAGCCATAGCGCCACTTCTGGCTTTTTCTGCTTATGTGGTGCTGAGGAATCCAACCTAGGGCCTCATGCATATGAGGCAAGCACTCTACCACTGAGCCACCTTCCCAGCCCCGAGAAGTGGTTCTTATGTGCAGTTTTGCCTGGAGAGAAAACAAAAAAGAAGAGACCCATCTTTCCTAGGTAGACCTAACACTAAGACAGGGTGAGTAGTAAGCACCGTCTGCTGCTTGAGACCCAAGGTGTTGGGTTCTACCACTAGGCTACATCCCCGATCTTCCCACTTTTTTTTTTTTTTTTGTGGGTCATGGGGCTTGAACTCTGGGGTCTAGGTGCTGTCTCTGAGCTCTTCAGCTCAAGGTGAGTGCTTTACCACTTGAGCCACAGTTCCATTTCCAGTTTTCTGTTTAATTGGAGATGAAAGTCTCACAGACTTTCTTGCTCAGGCTGGCTTTGAACAGCAATCCTCAGATCTCAACCTTCTGAGTAGCTAGGATTACAGGCATGAGCCACCAGCCTTTTTTTTTTTTTTTTTGAGACTGGGTCTATCTATGTAGTCCTTGTAGCCTTGGATTTAATGCATAGCCCAAAGTAACTTGAACTCCCCATCCTTCTGTCTCCATCTTCTGAGTGTTGGGACTGTACATGTTCATTATCATACCCAGCTTCCTTTAGACTTTTAACAAAGCAGTAGGCTGGCTTTCTTGCCCCAACTTGTGGGGGGGGGGGGGAGGGGTATGAAGCTGCCATGGAATTTGATTCTTAAATCAGAAGCCAGTGAACACCTGGAAACTAAAAACACCCCTAAGCTAGACTCAATCATAGGCTCTGATTTGAAGAGAGGCAGGGCTAGGCTCAAACATCAGACATTAGGGCTGGGACCAGGAACCTGGCATAGAAGCCTGCCTTCTCAGATCTGCCTCTTTGTCCTCAAACCCTCTTGCTTTTCAACCATTAATCACTAAGTCACTTTCCCTGCCTACCTTCCTTCTCTGCCCCCAACACATCTATGGGCGTCTCTACATATCTATATCACTCAGCTTCTGCCCTGATGCCCCTGCCCTTGTTTGAGCACTGGCATTTGCCACATTCCCTCAACAGGCCTGCCTGCTCCCACTTCTTCTCCTGTAGTGCCTTTGGTTCACACAAATCAGCTAGTCTTTCTCAAGCATTATCAAACCCATCTATGCCTAACTTTGAGAGCTACTCAGGAGACCCATAATGAAATCCAGACATATAAGCTTGGGAGCCAAGGCTCTATAATGATGTGGTCTCAGCTACCTTTTCTTTTTCTTTTTTTTTGTGGCCAGTCCTGGGGCTTGAACTCAGGGCCTGGGCACTGTCCCTGGGTTTCTTTTATTTGCTCAAGGCTAGCTCTCTACCACTTGAGCCACAGCACCACTTTTGGCTGTTTCTGTTTAAGTGGTACTGAGGAATTGAACCCAGAGCTTCATTCATGCTAGGCAAGCTCTTCACTAGTAAGCCACATTCCCAGCCTCTACCTACCTTTTTTTTTAGAGGGGAAGAAATAGTAATGAGGTGTGAACCCATGGCCTTGTGTTTGCTTGGCAGGTTCTGTACCATTTGAGCCACACCTTGAATCCTTTTTTGCTTTAGCTATTTTTCAGAGAGGGTCTCAAGTTTTTGTCTAGGCTAACCTCAGACTTCAGTCCACCTATCTATGCTTTCTGAATAGCTAGGATCATAAATGTGTACCACCAGACCTGGCTTATTTGTTGGGATGGAGGGTCTCGATAACTTTTCCTGGCTGGTCTCAAATTTCAGTTCTACTGAGTAGCGGTGATTACAGTCATGAGCCACTGCATCCAGCCCTCAGCTACTTTTCCTTTTTTGTTTTAGTTTGCTTTGTACCAGTCCTGGGGCTTGAACTCAGGGCCTGGGTGCTGTCACTCAGCTTTTGAACTTTTTTAAGCCACACGTTCACTTCCAGCTTTTTTGGTGGTTAAATGGAGATAAGAATCTCTCAGACTTTCTGTAGAAAGCAGGTTGAGATGAGAGATCCCAACCCAAAACCTTGAAAAACAAAGTTGAGAAAACAGCAAGAGACGCCACTGTCTTAGTCCTGGGAGTGGCACAATTGCGGTTTTAGTAAGAGCCATCGCATAAGCTAAAAGTTGTAGAAACTAGCTCAAGGCGAACTGCAATGTCCTGCTTCTGATTCCTGCTTGCTGGCCACCTGTGAGTGGCTTCTTTCTGTTTTTTCCCTATATAACACCACCCCTGAGCTATGATCAGGGCTGGTCTTCAATGTCCCAATAGTGGAGGTCAGTAGCAGTGGCTAATAAAGATTCGTAGCCCATTTGAGTGTTGGTGACTCCTTTCGCCAATCATGGGTTGGAGTCCCACCGGCCCTGGGAAATTGGGATACTTCACTTTCCTTCTCAGGCTGGCTTCAAACCCTGACCCTCAGATTTCAGCCTCCTGAGTAGCTAGGATTATAGGCATGAGCCAGTGGCACATGGCCTCAGCTACTTTTCTGATTCTAATTTCAACCAGGCCTATCCTGTGACTATCAAGCTCACTAGCTTTCCAATCTAAATCCTTCAAGCTACTTGCTTCAGGATATTACGCCTACTCAGCTTGGTAGCCTCTCTTCCACCTATCAGCTCGCCAGAGATGAGATGCCCACCACTCCACATAAATTCTCCCACAGTACATGCTAAAGATCCCGATATGCTTGCAGAGAAACCCAGACTTCGGGATAGGCTTATGTCTCAATCTGCTGCTGAAGGCCAATGACTATTCCAGTCCCAGCCCTCAGGGCAGAGTCCAACAAAGAAACAGCACCTGCCAGGTGCTCACACAGGCAGATATATTGCTAGCCAGCCTGTTGCTGCATTGATCCAACTGGGAGGAAAGAGAGAGAAACTGGCAAACAGTAATTAGTCTCTTCCCAGATGCCAATGTCTGTCTCAATCTCCAGGGACTTCCAAGGAGATGCTGGAGAATGATTTAGATTCTTTGACCTCCTCCAACTCCCCCATGAAGAATCTATTGAGAATGTCAGGTGCAGATCAGAATTGTGATCCTACAAGACAACACAACATCTCTGTATCCCCTTCCTAAAGCTGCTTTCTCATTCCTCCCTCAACTCCCTAAGCTTTCAGCCCTTTTTTCCCTGTACCTCAGTCTAGAAGAACTTCTATTCATGTTCTATTTAAAGTAGCTTTTCTCCCTGCTTCCTATAGGTAGAAAAATCCTTCTAGAAAATGCAGGTAGTAATCGATAGGTGCTACCCTCAAAGCCAAGTGGGACCCAAAGACCACTGCCCCAGGCTATATTTGCTTTCCATTTATATTCATTCAATACAACTAAGGCTCCATTCTGGACACTAAGGAAATCAGGGGAGTTCAAATCTAAATAGGACAGACTCCCTTATCCTCAAACTTTCATATTAAGTCAGCCTTATTGCATGACCTCTGTAGGCATGGAGAGGCCACCTTACAGACCTTAAAAGCCCTTTCCACAAATACATTCCATTTATAAACTTTTAGGATTCTTTACTAAAAGGCAGAAGCCTAAAAGACAGAAGCCTATGGACCTGGGAACCCACTCTGTTGGAGTACAGCCCTAGTTTCCCAAATGCTATCAAACATCCAAGATGGAGTGGAATGGCAGAGATTTTTTTATAGTGTCCTTTTTACAGATGAGGAAACACCTGACCCAAACAGAAAAAAGGGGGAGGGTACTTGTCTGAAGTCATCCAGGTAACAAGTTTGTTTGGATCCAAAAATCCTACCAGTTTCCACACTCCACAAGGTATTTTGGGAGATGGGAGACAATGTTGTAACCTGGCTGCCTGAATGCAGAGGTGGAAGGCTGGGACAAGCTTTCGTCAGGTGGGTGTGGGCTAGTGAAGATTTTCCCTAGTTGCTATATCTTAGCACACTAAGATCTTGCAGTGCCAACTGTAAGGGGGCAATTTTAATGGCATCTGGTACTGTAGGGGAGGAACTTGGTGGTTTAGGCGTTAGCATTTAGGGACGCCTGTAATCTTCAGTCTTTGCCATCTGGCCAGCCACAGGCTAATGCTAGCAGGTGGGGGTCTGTGTAGCAGGCCTTCTTGGGCTCTGCCCCTGCCGCAGCCTTTTCCCGCTTGACATTCAACCTCTGTCTTGGCTGTCAGCCCCTAGTCTCCTTTGAGAGAAAGCCCAACCCGGCTCTACTGAGAGAGGAGGCCATTCCAAGCAGAGCGAAGCAGTTTGTGGAACACAGGAGGGGGTGGAAATGTCAAAGGCAATTCGATCCGGCCCATCTCCTTCCCCTGCCCAGGGGACAAGGATCCGCAAAGATCGAGTGACTTGAGCCCTGAGCCCACTCCCTGGAATAGTTTCCTAGCCACCCTCGGAGCTGCGCCCGACAGCTACACAGTCCAAAGGGACAGGCGAAGGTCAAGGAACCTGTGACCTCTGGGTTCCGAGAAAGGGCTCCGAGGCGTCCAGGGTCGCTCCACTCATTCGGCAGGAGCCAAAGTTCAGGGAATCGAATTCCTTCTGCAGCTCACTCCTCCGCCCCCCAGTCCTCCCGCTAGGCTCACTCACCGAAGTGATGGCAGGGCAAAAGTGGGAGTAAAGAGATGTTCGGGCAGCGCCCCTCCGCGCCAGCAGGAGTTGACGGCCACCGAAAGGCTCCGGAGCTGGCTGGCTCAATATTGATGAGCCCCTCCTCAGGCCCCACCCCGGTCACTTGGCCACACCCCTGACGCACCAATCAACTCCGCCCTGGGGCCCAAGCTCCGCCCCCGGCGCCCGATTTCCCCCCCCCTAAACATCACGTGGACATGAGGCTCCACCCCTTGCACTCTCTCTCCTCCCTTCTCCTTTGCTCCACCTCTGGCGTTATTAGTCTGACTCAAGCGGAGGGAGGAGTCCATTGCCTATCCGCGAGAGGGCGGGGCTTGGCCCCAGGCCTGATGGGAAATGTAGTTCTGGAGGAAGCAGCAGCTTCAGAAATAGTTGAGGCTAGGTCGGAGATGTATATGAACAGAGAGCTGCAAGTTAGAAGGGGTCAGAGCTGGCCTTTGGATTTCTTTTTCCTCCATCTTTGGGCGAGTAGGGTGCTATGTCGGTATAACGTCAGGAGATGTTTTCTTATGTAGAAAAGTAGCTGTTTAATTGTGGGAAGGTCTCTGTTCTCACTGCAGGGTAGTTAAGATCACCACGGAGGATTCTTGTCAATTTAAATGGTCAGTGATGTAAGCTGTTGGTTCCCACTGGATTAGACCAGCAGTGTCTGAGGTCAAGAATTGAGAAGGCTGGGGCTAGGAAGGTGGCTCAGTGGTAGAGTGCTTGCCTTGCATGCATGAGGCCTTGGGTTCGATTCCTCAGCACCACATAAGCAGAAAAAGCTGGAAGTGGTGCTGTGGCTCAAGTGGTAGAGCACTAGCCTAGAGCTGAAGAGCTGAGGGACAGTGCCCAGGCCCAGAGTTCAGGCACCATGACTGGCAAAAAAAAAAAAAAAAGAATTGAGAAGGCTGATCTGTGTTAAGCATTTTACAACGCCTGCTCCTCTGTTATTTATTTAGGATCCAGCCCCTCCTCCTAGTGACACGCAGCATGTAAGATTACATGCCTATAATCTTAGCACTCAGGCCACTGAGTTTGAGACCACTTTAAGCTACACAGAAAGACTTTATGAGAAGAGGAAAGAGAAGAATGATTACTGTGGAGAGGTGGGTGTGTTCCTCCATACCACTTCCAGTAGAGTGAAGGGTTATGTTAAGCTAAAATTTCATGTCTTTAATGGAGAAAGGAACATACTGAAGATCCTAGAGATTTCTGAACAACTTGCCCTTTGCTCTCTTGAACAGAGAAACAGGTCTGTTTCACAATTTGAATTTCTTGATCATGAGCCTCTCCAAAATTGTGTTCTTGGGTGTTGGGAGGGCAACAAAGGAAATCTAAGCAGAGAGAGACTTTGGGAGAGGCTGAGAACAAAGCAACAGTTTTTTTCCATAGACATTGAGGTTTGGGGTCATTGTGGGTGAAGTATCAGCTGGAGGGTCTTCTTAGGATGGGATGTAGGCAGATCCACCCCTTACAGCTAGGTGCTACTATTGGTTTAGGCTGTGGAATAGGAGGATATGGAATCACTGAGAGCAGTCAGAGCAAAGCCCACCCTCTTTCCCATAGAGGTTCTGTGTCCCTCACCTATAGGCAGCCCCTAGACATCATGTCACCATGGCCTTGGGTAGTTGACACATGCACTCATGAGCCATTGTCCCTGGATGACATATACATGAACAACAAACTGATTGGACCTAAAGGTGTGTGCTGGAATGGGCATCTGGTCACAGGGACTATAAATGACACATGAGGTGCTCAGCAGGTTGTGTGGACCCTCTGGTTTGTTCTAGGGACTAACATGGCCCACAGGGTGTCTAGTGATCTTGAGAGTCAGGTAGCTCTCTCCTAAAGACACCATATTAACCCTTGTACAATGTGCCCCAAGGCAGTGTCCTTCCTTGGAACTCCCCTTCCAGTCTAGCAGGAGCTCTGCTTATCTTTACAATAAATCGTCATCATTTTTCCTTCTCCTTTGAGTCCATGGACTCATTCTTGAGATTGTAGAGAGAAAGGACTTGAACCAGGTGTTGCAGTCTTTTTGTATCATTACTGTTGTACATCAGAAGGGCATAATTACTCAAACTACTGAGATAATGGGAGTGAGAGTGTTCTAGGCTGGGTAAATAAGAAACAGGTCCCTCATTTCTAGACCTTACTGGGCAAAGACATAGGGAGACAGCCTTTGGGATAAAGAATTTATTGCCTGAGCAAGCTCAGACTTTACCAGAAACAGTAGCGAGGATAGCTCTCGGACACAAACTCAGGGTGAACAACATAGCTGTTTCTCTGGGACCCACCAGTCTTCTTGAAGTGACTTGTGTCCCATCTGCAAGGGAGAGACGGTCAGCCGTTCTAGACACTCCTATGTTGAAGTCAACATCTGATTCCAATTCTCAATACTAACCTTATCCCAACATTTTAACACTAACACTGACTTCCTAACCTCATGTTGTAATGCTGAATTTCTGATGCTAAGTACATATTCCCTACCTTTTCATACCAAATCCTGAAGCCCAGCACACAATACTAAATTCACTACCAAGTCTAACTCCTTCCATACTTCCCCACGGCCCTAGCTCCCCCTGGTGGCTGGTTCCTGTAGGTGCAACTTAGTGGACACATCCCATCCCTAGTCCCCTTCCCGGCCCCCAAGGCCCTAAAGGAACAGCGTGTATATGCAAGTGAAAGTGTGTGCATCAGACTTACTTCAGGTTTGGACATGGGTAGAATGATGGCAGGGGAGTTGTAACAGCACATTGCATTCCGGGTCGGTGCCCGAAGGGCGACACACACCTGGGGAAGAAAGTAGTAGGCAGCAAGAGGTAAGGTCTATTGATACCCTCCTATTCCTGCAGTGCAGACCGAGGACTGTGGTGATGTTTCAGGCACGAGTCCTACCGCTCCAAGATCCTTCCCGTCTTTGCCTTTCAAGACCCTATTTCAGTACTGCCTCTGCGTAGATCCCTCCTCACAAGGCCTGGTTTTGCTGTCCAGGGCAGACGATGGAGTCCAGGGAGAGGACTGGCTTCCCTTCTGGGGAGGATTGAGGACTCAGGAGCCCTTCAGATCTTTGCAAAGGAACAGCAATTTCTCCAGCATGCTGAAGGGTGCATGGAGTCTTCAGGAGACTCAGGCACGTTTACACACACGCGCGCGCGCGCGCACACACACACACACATTTTTGTTTTTTTTTGTCGGTCTTGGGGCCTGAACTCTGGGCCTGGGCACTGTCCCTCAGCTCTTCAGCTCAAGGCTAGCACTCTACCGCTTGAGCCACAGCGCCACTTCTGGCTTTTTCTGCTTAAGTGGTGCTGAGGAATCGAACCCAGGGCCTCATGCATGAGACGCAAGCACTGAGCCACCTTCCCAGTCCATCCCCGCCCCCCCCCCCCCCCATTTGAGGGATAAGACTCAACCTTGCATGACCGGCTATGGGGTTAGGGACAGAGATCAGGACCCATTCTGTACAGTATTCAGAACTGCCTCAGACTTGGTTACCTCGGCCCCGGGGCAAAGGGGAAGCAGAAACACGGCTGGGCCCAGTGAGCAAGCAGAATTCGGCTGCAGGCCAGCGCAGGGCTGACTTGGAGGCCCAGCGGGGCTAGAAACTGCAGCCAGGGAGGGCCGGGCTGGGGGTGAGGCTTGTTTGGGGAAGGAGGCTGCCTGAGGGCTGATCCATGCGAACCTTACAGTCGGCTCCTCCAAGCACGGACTCAGGCGAGGGTCAGCGAGGGGCGCCTCCGCGGCGAGGCAGTCCAACCCGTGCAGGCAGTAGTGGCGGCCAGGGCAAGGGCTATTGAAACCTTGGAACGGCAGGCGGCCGGACATCGGGTCCAAGCATCTGCACCGCGGTGCTAGCTGTGGCAGCGGCTGGTTCCGGGACAGCGAGTTCAACATGTTCATCACCACCTCACGTTCTGTGCCCGCGGGTCCAGAACCCAAGAGACCCCCAAGACAAGAGTCCCAGGCAGGGGGAGAGGCAAGGTCAGAAACAGAGGCAGAGACACAGTGACACCCCCTCCAGGACCCTCGGCCTCCACCCTGTTCCCCTCGATCCCCGGCCCGTCCGCCTCTGTCCTCCCGCTCCCTTTCCACCGGCCCCGCCAGTCTTTACCGTAGGCATTGAGGCGCTCCGGCTTGGGAGGGTACTCCAAGGGCATGCCTCGAACTACTGGGTCCAGCCTAGAGTCCTGCAGGGACCACAGATGCTAGCCTCAAGCTCCGATCCGGAAGAGTGTTTACCCCTTTGAGGGGTCCCTCCAGAACACCCTGTTCCCGCCTCTCAGCAGCTCCCAACTCTGATCTGCCGAGTGTTTGGGGTTGTTGCTGGGCAACGCATTTACTCCATCTATCCGGAGGAGGCTAGAGAGGAGGAGGGCTGTAGGAAGGGAGATTGGCCTGGGCCTGGGACCACTGTGCACTAGCATTTGCCTTTGATTTTAGTATTTGCCTTTATCAGATGGAGTGTTGTTTTTTTTTTTTTCTTTATCGGTCGTGGGGCCTGGGCACTGTCCCTAAGAGCTCAAGGCTAGCGCTCTACCACTTGAACCACAGTGCCACTAACGGCTCTTCTGCTTATGTGGTGCTGAGGAATCGAACCCAGGGCCTCATGCATGCAAGGCAAGCACTCTACCACTGAACCACCTTCCCAGCCCATGATGGAGTGTTTAACAGGGAGTTTACAATATTAGAATACATTAGAATTACAACATCAGAATCACCTAGAGGACCTTGTGACACATTCTAATTCTGTGTGTGTGTGTGTGTGTGTGTGTGTGTGTGTGTGTGTGTGTATGTGTGTGTGTGTAGGGGGAGGGGTCCTGGCTTGAACCCAGGGTGAGGGTTTTTTGCTCAAGGCTAACACCGTATTACTTGAATCACAACTTCACTATTGTCTTTTTTTGTAGTTAAGTCCCTAAGACAAGAATCTCAGGTACTTCCTTGCCCCCTCTACTGGCTGGCATTGAACCAGGATTCTCATATCTCAGCCTCCTGAATAGCTAGGATTATAAGTGTGAATCACCAGCCCCCAGCTCAAATTCTAATTCTTTTTTTTTTTTTTGGTCCAGTCGTGGGGCCTAAACTCTGGGCCTGGGCGCTGTCCCTCAGCTCTTCAGCTCAAGGCTAGCGCTCTACCACTTGAGCCACAGCGCCACTTCCAGCTTTTTCCTTTTTGCTTATGTGGTGCTGAGGAATCAAACCCAAGGCCTCATGCATGCAAGGCAAGCGCTCTACCACTGAGCCACCTTCCCAGCCCCTCAAATTCTAATTCTTGAGGAAGTCCTAATTCAAAAAAGGTTCAGTCTATCAGCCTACTGCTAGGCACTCCTGCAAGGGGCCTTGGGACCTCTTACCTTCCCTAGCCAGAGGGCCAGGCCTGGGACTAGGACTCCATTCTATCTCCCAGGAATAGTCTCCTATTCTATTTCTACTCTGCTGCTACTTAGTAGCCTCGTGCTCCTGTTTTCCCTGTTCATATCACAATGGAAGGGGAAGATGACTGTGACAGCCCCAAATGTCACAATGGTCAGAACAGATGAGGAGGGGTCACTCAGCAAACTTCAAGAAGGTACAAGTATGCCAGAAGTCCACACCACTCATCTGTACAGAGCCAAGGCAGAGATCAGGATTCAAGGATTTATCATAGCCCCACTCCTGGGCTAGCAAACATTCACTAATCCTAGTTCCCCAGATGGGGGAAGATTCTGGAGCACTGTTGGTAGGAAAGGAATGAGGACTGAATAGATAAGTATCAGTCACTGTAGTGTAGGATGGTAGTGTGGACCCGGTAGCTACCTTAGACAGTTGAGGAAGGTAGGAAGAATACTTGTTCAAGTAGGAGCTGTTGTAAGGTCCCATCTTCCATGTGTTGTACCGGTCACCGCCCAGGTAACTTGGGCAGTATTTGAGTGCTGCATTGTAGGAGTGGAGATGTCAGTTATTTCTTACTTCACCCAGGGGATCTAGGACCACTTTAAATGTTTGTTGATTCCCAGCACAAAGCAGATCATCATTGACTTCTCCTGAGGCCAGTCCCTAAGCCTACCCATACTTCGCTCCCTTCTTTCCTCCCTCCTTCCTTCCCTCCCTCCCTCCCTTCCTCCCTTCCTCTCTCCCTCCCTCCCTCCCTCCCTCCCTTCCTTTTTCTCTTCCTTCCTTCCTTCCTTTTCTTTCTAGATGGGTCTTGATAGATAGCCTAGGTTGGACTTGAACTTTCTTTTCTGCCACAGCCTTTTTAGTGCCAGGATTATGGCCTACCATACTTTGTTTCTGACAGTTGTAGCCCAGCTAATCAATTTTTATCCTGGTTCTATATTCTGAATCAATTAATTTGAAAATGGGGTTTCCTGCCAGTTTTTCTGTCTCCCTCATCTTCTACATCCAGACTCCAAGGTTTGCCTTTCTTCCTTCTTAAAACTCTTTGAATCCATTGAATCCATTCCCTCTCCCAGCCCTCCATGATCTGCCTCATCTTCTCTGTATCATCACCAGGAGACAAGATAATGTCATGGTTAACAGAGCAAAATCTGCAGATAGATTGCCTGGTTTCAAATTTCTGTTCTACCAATAATTAGCTTTGTGAGACCTTGACCAAGTTAATCTTGTCTCAGTTTACCCAACTGTAAAATTAGGGTGATAACTCTCAGGTTTGTTGTGGATCAGGGAGCACTTGCCTAACATAGGGTTGTTGTGAGGCTTAAATAAGTTAATAATTGTTCAAAAAATTAGAATACTTGTTACGATTAAAAAGCTATTTTAATTAGCCTATTGGTCTTCTTGCCTTATCTTTGAAATTTTACAATCCAGCATCACCGTAGAAACTGTGGTGCTTTTTCACAAATGAAAAGTTGATCATTGTTAACTAACTCTAGTTAACATTCTTCAACACCATCCCTGCCACAAGATCCTCTGTAATTCATGTGAGAAACAGGGTAAAAAGGCCAAGAAGAAGACAGGTGGGTGTGGGGAAGAGGTACAACGTTGGGGTTTGAAATTCTGAGTTGGCTGATTTGGCATACTGTGTTTGAGGTTTATTTTTCACATCCAGGTAGAGATCACCATACTCAGATGAAGGAGAGTAAAGTCTGGTGAGACATCAAGGCTACAGTATTTAAAGTTAGGGATGGGGTAGGTAACATAGTTTTGGGGACAGAGCAAGGAGGAAAGAGAACTCTGAATAGTATTCTGGAAAACTTTGTGTCCAAAGTAAGTATATAAGAGACTTAGAAAAAGCGAGGCGTCAGAGAGGCTGAGGAAGGAAGTAGTTTTAAGTAGAATGGAGTAGTCAGAGGAGTGAAATGCATAGGGAAAGTCTCAGATAGTGAAGACTAAAAGGTCTCATGGATATGGTAATCGGAACCACACAGATGTAATTTCAGTATTCTGTGTAGGAGGTGCAGACGCCAACTTATGTTGGGAATTATCACTTCATCCAACAAAGATTTACGAAGTCCCTTGATGGAGGGGCCCAGTTGTAAATAAGAGAAGACTGTGGTTTTGTTTTGTTTTTTTTTTAGAGCTGAGGACCAGAATCAGGGTCTTGCACTTGCTAGGCAAGTGCTCTTCCACTGAACTAAATCCCCAATCACTTTTTTTTTTTTGTGGTGCTATTTGGTTTGAATTCAGGGCCTAGAGCTGGCTAGGTAAATGCTCTAACACTAAGCCTAACCTCTCTTCCTCAAGACTGGTGTACTGGTGTGTGTGTGTGTTTGTGTGCGTGTGTGTTTGTGTGCATGCACATACACACAGATTGTAAACACTTTATCAAAGGGGAAAGATAATTTTTCATAAGGTGTATGAAGGAGTGAGGAAGTTGAGATAATGAGTATAGACTGTGTTTCTGGGAATCTTGACTGTGAGGGAGATGAGAGGTTTTAGGCAGAAGTTAGGAAATGTTCCAGGGAAAGGGAAAGAGGTATCATGTGGCAGGAGAGATGGAGAACTGAACAGGATTGCTAAGAAGATGGGGAGGAGGTGACTCTTGGAATATGGTTGGAGGATTTTGGGAAGATTAATTTTCTCTCCATCTTTAATAGTGATGAAAGCCAGGGTTCTTCCAGGGTTAGGTTATTGTTTTGAGCCAGACTCTGTCTGGTCTTTACTCCTAGGTTCAAGTTACCCTCCTATCTCAACCTCCCAAGTAGCTGGGACTACAGGTGCATGCTGTGCCTGGTTATTTTCCAATTCTATTTTCAGACAGGGAGATCACAAAAGTCTGAGCCTAGGTGGTCTCCTCCAGGGTCAGGGTCAAGACAGGTGGTTAGTAATCAAGTTGAAGTGGAGATTGGTTAGAAAAAAGGTCTATTTTATCTCATGGATAGAGATAGGTTGATAGATCAGGTCAGGATCTAATTGGGTTCAAGTTATAAGTCATTGGTGGGGTCACTGCTAGAGTCAGGAGGTTACGGAGGCCCTACCTTCATTTTGAGGGATCCAGTACTGCTCAGGACAGTATGGATGGCCTGATGTGTGTGTAGTGCATTTGTTCATCTGCAGAGTATCAGGATCCATATAGCGCTGTGTGGCATGAGTTAGACCCTGTGAAAAGAAAAGAGAATTGGCTAGGCATGTAGAGGTCCCTAGATTCAGTCCCTCCTGAAATCAACTTGGGTGGATTTTTTTTACCTCTCTCCCAATGGCAGAGGGTGGATTTTCATGCCAGTCTTCATTCTTCTACATGATTTCTTGGTTGGATCACATTTTGCCCCCTGACCCCCCTTTTTATTCCCAAACTGGGGTTTGGAATCAAGCTCTTGCTCTAATCATAGTGTTTTATTATCTATTTTTTGATGTTTCCTGACTCGGATGGAACTCTTAAAGGTCAGAGCTAAGTGTTTCTCCCGTCATTTCCCCCTTTCTTCTTTTCTTTCTTTTTCTTTTTTTTCTCTTTCTTTCCTTTCTTTCTTTCTTTCTCTTTCTTTCTTTCTCTCTTCCTTCCTTTCTTTCCTTTCTTTTATTTCCCTTTTATTCCTTCCTTCCTTCCTTCTTTCCTTCCTTTGTTGTTATTATAAAGGTGTTGTACGGAGGGGTATTATAAAGGTGGTGTACAGAGGGGTTACAGTTACCTAAGTCAGGTAGAGAGTACATTTCTTTTTGGACAGTACCACCCCTTCCCTCACTCTCTTCCAGTTTTTTCTCCCATCCCCACTCACAAGTTGTATAGTTCATCTTCAACATAGTGTCTAGTTAGTACCACTTGTTCATTCTTTATCCCTCTATTTCTATTCTCCCTTATCCTCCTAAAGACATATAAAAGAACAAGACAAAAAGAAAAGAAAAACAACAACAAAAACTTCATTATTTTATATGATCAGAGGCACAAAGGCATAGTGCCTTTGTGTTCCTCCCTTAAGAGAATATTCCTTTGCTCTCTCTGGATATGGATGCCTAGAGTCCTGTATAATTTATCACGTCCCATTTTTAGCTCTAGCTTTGGCGTATGAGAAAAAACATGTACTGTTTGTCTCTCTGAGCTTGGCTTACCTCACTTAACTATGATTTGTTCTTGGTCCATCCATTTCCCTGAAAATGACATAATATTATTCTTTCTTAAACTCTTCTCTTTCTTGTAGACTATATTCTGTCAGAGATCAGGGCCTCCCGTAGGGCCCCAGTTTCCTCCAACAGGGTTAGTAGGCCCCTGGCACAACTGGAGCCTCAGGAAAGGCTGGCTATCCTGGCTGCTATCTGTCTAATGCAAGCTTCTTTTTTTTTCCCACCGTGAGAATAACAGCCATTTATATTGCAATCTGAGAAGTGATATCTCTCATTTCTTCCACGTTCTATTCACTAGAACCAATAACTAGATGTGGCCACATCTGAAAAATCAGAGATTGCAGGCAATTGTCAGGACTGGTATGGTTTTTGACCTGCTCAGCTAATGCTCGTGGGTCTTGTAGTGAAGGGACAATCTACACCTCATCTCTGCTCTTGTCATATCCAGTTAATGCAAGCTTCTTAAGTAGGGTGGAATCTGGAGCTGAAAAATGGAGCTGATGGGGGACCTACTTTAAGGTTCAATTCTTTGTCTTGGACTCGATCCTGATTCTGCTTATGGCTCTGATCATGCAACAATATTATCTTTGACTTTGATCTTCACTTTGCTCTGCTCCTCATCTAACCACCTTTTTTTCCTCTTCCTGATCCAGGCCCTGGGTCCCTCTGCTTTTTGAAGTTCATCTTATCTCATCACTCTTTGTTCAGCTAGATATGTAGAAATTCAGATCAAGGCCTCCCTTGGGGCCACTTTGTCTCCAGATGAGAGCAGAATGCCAAGCAAGGTATGTGTTTACAGGTGTTTATAGGCAGTGGGTCTGAAAATGCCACTGAACCATCCACACTGCCCTTTATGATATTAATGAGAGAGGCTTCTTATAGCCAGAGCTAAGATCAGACCTGGCCCTTAGGGATACAAATACCCTGAAACCCCCTCAACTCAAAGGCTTCTGGGTCAAGTTCTGTGGACAAATATGGCACAATTAGACTCCAACATAAGTGAGAATGGATGATGTGGATCCAAGGGTCCCATGCCTTAGTGGCTTTCTGAACTTTACACACACACACACACACACACACACACACACACACACACACACACAATGTATCCACTTACACACATACAGATGTGTCCATATATACATACTAAAATATACCCACCCACACATAGAACAGTCACGCAGAACTCATAGACTATTAATTTTTTTTTTGTTGGAGCCTTTCCTCAGATGTCTGCAATCTTTCTTCATGTTCATGAATAGGAGACTAACTTAGCTAAGGCTCTAAACTGTGAGTGGGTTTTGTCAACTGTGGAATGATCTGGTTGGATGATGATGATTATTATTACAAATGCTAATAATATGTGTGTGTCATTCTTCTTGGGTTGATCAGATTCTTCAGAAAGGATTCCTTTATTCTTTGGTCTGAGGGTAATAACCTGGTTGCCATTGTTCTCGGAACCTGTATGGAGCAGGTATATTGGGGGAGGGAGCATGTTATAATTCAGCCTATGGAGGTTCACTTGTTGTTTGTTTGTTGGTCGTAGGTATGGAACTCAGGGCTGGAGCACTGCCCCTGAGCTCTTTTGCTCAAGGCTAGCATTCTACCACTTTGAGCCTCTGCTCCATTTCTGGCTTTTGAGTGGCTAATTGGAGCTGAGTCTCTCAGGGACTTTTCTGCCCCAGCTGGCTTTGAACTAAGATCCTCGGATCTCAACCTCCTTAGCTAGTATTACAGGCATGAGCCACCAGTGCCTTGCTAGTTCACCTGTTGTTATTATGGTGCCCCACCCTCAGTTTTTATCCCCAGTCCTGAGATCTTGCCAACAAATAAGCCTTGTGACTTTAGCAGAAACAGAGGTAGGTAGTTACCCTCTGGCACAAACTTAGAAAAAGGGATTCATAGGTTTAACTGCTTAAATGGCTTTCAAATAAGCCTTAGTTCTGAACCATCTTCAGTTCCAGAGAAGCCTAGGATTATTCATTCCTGAGCTTTTTGGAAATTCTGCAGTTTTGAGTTGAATTATGTCTCCACACTCCTATTGCTGGCTTGAGACTCAGCTTTCTCAGTAAAATCAGTAAAAATCAGTAAAATCAGTAAAAATCAGCTAAATCAGTACTACTTAGCATACTTTCCAGCTTCCAAAACTTCCTTGCCATCATCCTTTCTTTTTCAACATCCTTGTGGTTTATGACTTAAATATCTATTACTCTAGTTTTAGAGAGGTTTCAGGAGAGTCAAATGCACATGTGTTCAATTAGAGTTCTTGATGTATTCTACATACTAATGAGTTACATGTTGCAGATCTCTCAGTTTGTGGCTTCTTTCTTTAATTTTCTTAATGGTGTCTTTGATGAACAGAAGGTCTTAATTTAAACATAGTTGAATTTATTAATCTCTTCTTTTATGGTTAATGTTTTTTGTGACTTAAGAAATCCATCCATACTCTCAGATAATGCACATAACATCCTGTATTTTCTTCTAAAAATTATTCAGTTTTGCTTTCCATATTTAATCTCTCAGAACTTGCACTTGGGGTTTGATGTGAGATAGTGATTAATTTTATTTTTATCTCTATTGATAACTAATATTCCCATAGAGTAATCTATTTCTACCCTCAGATTTGTTATGCCACTCCAAGCCTGATGCCTTATCTTTGTTGAATATTATTTCCATATATATGTGTGTGTATGTGTGTGTGGTACTTTTCTGTTTCATTAGTCAGTTTTTCCAGCTTTATGAGTTCCTATAACTTCACAATTAGTATCTGTTTGGACAAGTTCTCTTTTGCCTATTGGTCTTTGTTATAAATTTTAGAAACAGCTTGTCAAATTCCTCAAAAGATTGATTTTTTTTTTTTGGTCTGGTTGTGGGGCCTGAACTCTGGGCCTGGGCCTGTTGCTCAGCTCTTCAGTTCAAGGCTAACGCTCTACCACTTGAGCCACAGCGCCACTTCCGGCTTTTTTTCTTTTTGCTTATGTGGTACTAAGGAATCGAACACAGGGCCTCAGGCATGCAAGACAAGCGCTCTACCACTGAGCCACCTTCCCAGCCCCGCCTCAAAAGCTCTTGATGAGACTTTTTCTCCTTTTTTTATTTTTATTTTTGCCAGTCCTGGGGCTTGAATTCTGGGCCTGGGGGTTGTCCCTGAGTCATTGTACGCAAGGCTAGTGCTCCACCACTTAAGCCATAGCTCCACTTCTGGCTCTTTCTGTAGTTTATTGAAGATAAAAATCTCAGACTTTCCTACCTGGGCTGGCTTTGAATCATAATCCTTACATCTCAGCCTCCTGAGTAGCTAAGATTACAGGTGTGAGCCACTGGCAGCCAGCTCTTGATGAGATTCTAGTGATATTGAATTAAATCTTCATGATAGCAAGTCTTCCTATCCAAGAACATGCTATATGTCTTTAAGTATTTTGAAGAAGTATTTCATAAAGTTTTGTTTTGTTTTTGAGATTGTCCAGACAGGCTTGTAAGCCAAACACTAGAGTTATAGGTTACATGGTTCTCAATAAAGTTTTATAATATTATCTATAGTTTTCCCCACATTGTTGAATTTATACTTTTATTTTAATTTATTTATTTTTGTCAGTTTTGTGGCTTGAACTCAGGGCCTGGGTACTGTCTTTTAGCTGTCACCTTCCCCCTCCCCCCCTCGCTGGTCAGGGCTAGCACTCTACCACTTTGAGCCACAGTACCACCGTTTTCTGGTGGTTAATTGGAGATAAGAGTTTTACAGACATTCCTGCCCAGGCTGGCTTCCAACCACAATCTTCAGATCTTAGCCTCCTCAGTAGCTAGGATTACAGGTGTGAACCACTGGCACCTGGTTATTATTTTTTTGCTGTTAGATAAATGTGTTGTGATTTCTCTCTGTTTTTAAGAGAGAGTCTCACTAACTATCCCAAGCTGGCTTCAAACTCATGATCCTCCTGTCTCAGCCTCCCAAGTACTGGGATTTTGTATGGCCTAAATTTTCTTATTCTAATAATTTATAGACTCTATACACACAGTTGTCTCATCTGTAAATATAGTTTTAC